ATTTGTTGTTGTTATTGTTATCACTATCGTTGTTTGTGCATACGTATTGCAAATATTTAAATCAGCGTATTGTGTTTTTTTCTGCGATTTGTTTTTATATGTAACTTAGACTGCTTTTGGACTTTCGAAATCTTTCCCTGCGGCTGTTGAGTAGTGCTTGCCTAAGACTTCCGAAACTGATATTTTGGACGACTTCTTGCTGTGTATTTTGGACAAGATTCTGTTCGATTTTTTTTCATTATATCTACTATCTATAACATTGTGATCAAAGAAGATATGGAATAAAATATATATAAAAAAGTGTTTCCTATTTAATTAATATCCCATTAGTACATTATTAGAAATCCTTTTTTTTTGCTTTATTATTGCTGTGGGCATATTCAAATTGTTAAGTACTTTTTACAGCACAGAAATTGTATTCGAACTCAATAACCCTTTTCTGATAAGAATTATAAAGTATTTTGGCGCGGTCAGTACTATAGAGTTCTACCCAGAAGGGATAGGACCTGGGAGCGTAGACGTTAATTGAAAAATACTGATAGAGATAAATTATTTATTTTATTTTATCATTCAGGCGATTATAAAGAATTTTTATCTAAATACGAGAGGAAGTTCTTGGTGCCTGAAGATCTAATCTAGAATGGAACCTTCTATCAAAAGACAGACGATTCCTTATTTCAAATTAAAATCATAACATTAACTTTTTAATATAACTGCCAACCGTAGGCATTGCAAAAGCAAAGAGTTTACTTAAACAAGGAGGCTGTAACGTGTCAGACGTCACATCCCTCCGGCACCTCTAAAAAAAAATTGTTTTGTCATACCAGATGACCGAACAAAATTTTTTTTTCCTACCTACTACATCGAGAGGGTTCGACGGTCCTATCTAAAATCCCTACCTGCTTAAGGACATAAATACAACTGGGAGGTGGCCTTTACTACAGACTAGCCCTCACAATAAGTTTGCAAAACTTGCAAAAAAAACTTTACGGGAAAAGAACCCTAACTGTTTGCAAAGTTTTATTGCAAAGACTTTACGGGAGCAAAACCTTAACAAAATCCCTCGCACATCTCCCTCCTAACCTTAACTTTACTTTACTTTACATCGACATCAGTCGGCAAAAACAAAAAAACAAAGCTAACCCTAGCTATAACTTAAATTACCCAAACAATTTTTTTTTATCCCATCTATCAGCAAAACTTTACCCTATCCCATTTATTAAACCATTAAATATCAAGAAAATTTATATTTTGAAACTTCATTACTTCCCATACTAAGTAGATGTACGAAACGAAATTCAAACTATTTCCTAAGATTCGTAAACGTTAACTGGATTTGAGCAAAACCTAAAAGAATTTATAATTAATGTTTACTTTCGTACATCTTTAATAAAGATACAGACGTGGTCCACCACTTTATTGTCTTGTACTTTATTAGACACCCATGATGCGCAAACGTAATAGAAATTTTGGGTAAGGACATCTAGCATCAAACAAGATTAATCCCAATTCCCATGGAATACTAAGGGTTCCCTACCCCCAAGTCAAACTACTACAAGTGACGATTTTGACGAACGCGACGCGACCAAATTGAAACGAAAACGACGCGAATTCGTAGAGGGTGTCTCCATCATCTTCAGGGTGGATCGTCGTCAGTATCGCTGACGTCTGCATGAGCGCCAGCCTGGTCTCTCTCGGGAAGTCCGCATCATGTGGTAGTACATAAAACAATCAAGAAAATATTAGTAAAATTCTTTACACCATTTTTCTTCAGTCGGGTAAGTTAATATTCAAGAAAACATTTATGATAAATCTTTATAGCCTCTTTTCCATAGTTGAATAAATTTTCAAAGTATAACATTATTATTCATTTATTTATTTTTTAACCTTACAGGAAATCGAACCCGTTTCCTTTTTTATAATAAGGGAATTTTCTTTATGGACCTATATTATCCTATTATACATTATTAACTATATATATATTCTATCCTAATACTGAATTAATCCTATCTATGATCATATTCAAAGTCAATTGAATAATTCCAAGTTGAACAGAGAATCGAACCTGTTACCTATCATTCTTATGGTTATTACGATATCAACAATCCCCCTACTCAACAAATTACACTAAAGCTAACAATTAAAAGAAATGAAAATACTTTAATGAGACTACCTATTGATCTGTCATAAACAAAATGTGTAAAAGTTCCTTATAATATGTGTATTGAAAAAAATTTCTAATAAAATGACAAAGTTTATATTTAATATGCTTTTGGAATAAAATTCTAAAATGACTATTGTATTGAACCTTATTTACATACCACCATTGCTTTAAAACATTCATATAAACAATAAACTGAAATAAAATCTCATTAGTAACACAATATTATAATACTATCAACCTATTCGGCATAATATAAACTTTCATCATACACCGAAATATCACTATTCCTTTCATTATTCTTTTGTGTCTTTTAAACTTGCACTTAATATGTTTGATTATTAATTGTTCATTATAAAAGTCTACTATCGCATTATTTCGAAGTAAGAAATCCTGTCCTAAGATGAGGTTATGCCTAATATTCTCTACCACAAGAAAATCGTGAATGAATAACACATTGTCTATCAATAATTTAAGGTTAACTTTCCCTATAACAGACAATTCTTTACCATCGACAGCTTTCAACTTCATATCGCTTTCATTAATTCGTTGATGAATTCTATTAACTGTGTCCTTTGACACCACAGACACTGCAGCACCACTATCAATGAGCCCTACAAACTCCTTATCACGACACGTTATATTAATTAATGGTTTGGACTCACTTGTATGCTGATTGTTGGTTTCTGACGGTTGGGAATGAAAATCTTGTTCATCAGCCATCGTCATAACATTTTCTTCATAAAAAATTTTCTTTGGATGCTTCTTCTTCTTTGTTTTTTTCTTTTTGTTCATATTGCTGGAACAAAAAGTGCGGGGAATCATGTGTTCGGGAGGGACAATGGGATGAGAAAGGACACTTTGGGAGGAAATGAAGTTGATTTCCTTCTCTTGTTCTTCTTCATGCCTTATTATATGCGAAATTTTCGCCGCTTCGAAGTTTGTCATTGGTGTAACAAACGATGGTTGGATCGGCAGATCCCAACAAATTTCGGCACTCTCGTCTCCGAAAATATCTTGTGCTTGACGTAAAATATTTTTTAAATGTGTTTTATCACTATATAACTGAAATGCGAAAAGATTTTTTGTATTTAAATTCGCATTTTTCAAGAACTGTCTAATGAAGCATTTGTCATCGATGACAGCTCCCGCTTTTGTGGCCAGCTCATCCAATATATAAAAAAAGGTCAATGGCTCTTCTGACAAGCCTTGTCTTCGTGAGAAAAATTTTTCTAACGCATTTATCGATGCTGGAAATTCTTCACATATTTTCTTTTCTAAAATCTGAAAATTCTCACAAGACTCATTAATTTTTTTATAAAATAACAATGCAGGTCCACTTAAATATGCCGACAACACAACTCTTTTTGTATCCTCGTTGAAATTATTGATGGCGGCGATGATATGAAATTGACGAAAGAAATCGGTTACATCACCTTTTCCGTCGAATGTGGTCCTGGTCTCCATCTTCATAAAACTACTTCTTTCTTGATTTAAAATTATTTTTCACTCGCGGTACTTGAAGCTAACGCGGCGCGTCCACCATATAGAGTTCTACCCAGAAGGGATAGGACCTGGGAGCGTAGACGTTAATTGAAAAATACTGATAGAGATAAATTATTTATTTTATTTTATCATTCAGGCGATTATAAAGAATTTTTATCTAAATACGAGAGGAAGTTCTTGGTGCCTGAAGATCTAATCTAGAATGGAACCTTCTATCAAAAGACAGACGATTCCTTATTTCAAATTAAAATCATAACATTAACTTTTTAATATAACGGCCAACCGTAGGCATTGCAAAAGCAAAGAGTTTACTTAAACAAGGAGGCTGTAACGTGTCGGACGTCACAGTACCTACGCCCGCAGATCATACATTATTGTTGTGGACGAACTAACTTAAATTTTGGAAAATTGATGGGTCACAATACCAACCACGACTGATACTTTCAAATCCAAGGCCAGCTCCATATCAGGTGACAATCACTATCAATTTATTTTATTGTAATGACTAACGTTCGGTTGACTGTGCGTATTAGCTCAGCATTGATAGAAATGTACTTCAATATTTTTTTTTCAGTCAAAAAAATGTGTGTCTGTTTGCGGTGTCGACGGGACAGGAATTCGCTATAAAGACCACAAAAATTACAAGAGACGACGTATTTTGGACAACAAAAATGGAACCTAAATTATTGGAGTTCTACAATAAATGTCTTTTGCCTGAGTTGATCGATCCGAGAAAAATTCGGTCAATGCCAATTAGAAATGTGCAATTATAAAATTAGATAATTACTGTAAAGTTTGTTGTTTTAATTTATTATAACAATTAGATTCAAAAAATTAAATCATGAAATTGATCCTTAATAAATAAAAGTATCAAAATGATTCGTGCTAACTGTTTAGCGCTCACGCACACAGAGAAAACATTGTGCCGCAGCGCGTACTCCTTTCGATAGATCGTGTAGATTTTGACTTGCGCAAAATCGAACGCGCGCTCTTAAATTTAATAGTATATTAAATACGCATTCGTATAAAAAGTTTAATTATTGAAGAGTTCAAGCAACTAAAACAGCACAATATCGACTATTGCTCTTTTAAAATTTTAGCTAGGACCAAACGAAACTGAAAATACAAGGTGGGCCAATAGATGTGTCCAGAAGTGTATATTTATACGCTATATAATTTCATATAAATCAGTTCAGCGTCTTAAGCGTGCAGAGGTAAACAGTCAGACTCATTTTCGCATTTATAATAGGCATTATTATATATATAGTAGAATGAGCTGCTTTTGGCAATAATTGCTTTGTCTGACTGTTTTTTTTTTCTCTTTCAGATCTAATATGAAAGGGCGATGTTAAATAACTATGCGACACCACGCGGTCTGTATGTTCGAAAGTCGTGCGATACAAATTTATAGTGTAATTATCATATGGATGGATGCGCACAAACTCGCCGTCCAAATTACATACAACTGTACAAGTGACAATGGTGTAAAGGTGGTACAAAAAAATTGGATTTTTATAATTTTAAGTGCCTATGAGAAAGCTGCTCTATCCTGCTAAAGACATATTAAAGCCCTCTTCTTGGGGTATATAACCGTGAGTATTTAGTATTGTACATAAAATCAGTGTCATTAGAATGCAAATAAGACTCAATCAAATAGATGTTGAAGATTTTTTACTACAATATAGAAGTGAAGCGGTTGTCATATCAATATACAGTTTCAGTTTTTAACGTAGATTAAAATAAGTCTACTAACAAATATGGATCACCGTTATTTCAGATAATGAATTATTATTATTATTAATATCGCATAAAACCGTCCTGTTACCTACAATATGTATGTCAGTAAAAAGTTTCCTGAAATTCAACTGTTAACTTGATATTAACAGTAACTATTCGATTCTCATTTGAACAAATTCATCATCAGCATCAGCCTATTAATGTCCCCACTACTGAGGCACAGGCCTTCCCTATGGATGGAATAGGGAGATTGGACCATGACCCACCACGCGGGCCTAGTGCGGATTGGCGGGTGCTAACGACTACACATGCAGCCGGGACCAACGGCTTAACGTGCCTTCCGAAGCACGGAGGAACTGGAGATAGAAAATTTTTGGTCACCCATCCATTGACCGACCACTGTGCTTTACTTCAATGATCGCAGCCGAACACGCTAACCACCATTGAACAAATTATTCGTACTATATTTGAAGCTTCCTCCAATTTTTGGTTATTTGAAATAAATACAATTAAAGTAGAACGTTAACCTAACAATCTGTATATCAACAAAAATATCATTTTTGTCGTTAAAAGACTACCTTAGTTTGCTTATCATTATGTTATTGCAGTTAGGCTGTATTTATATCTCAATTTGTATTCATATTTGAGAATATGGGATGCCCTTACTAGGTTTACAATTTCGTTACAAAAAATCAAAGTACCTATTCTATTGTAAGTAATAAATCACAAGAAAACAAAAAAACCTTTGATTCTTCTTTCTAAAGAGTTTAAAGTCAGTAAAGTACCAAATTACAGTTTAAAATCGATTAAAAAACATGAATTATTAAAAGAAAAATGTATATGAGGTATTTTTATTAGATTGTTTGTGGCGTAACAGATGCAAATTGAGACAGATCACGACACAAAGCGCTAACAAGCGGTGCACAGTGGTATAGATTTTAAACATTCACGACAGTTGTAAGCATGATAAATGTAAAAACATGAAATTGTCGAAACCACGTGCGATGATATGTATATGAGGTATTTATTGTTTCCCAAAAGTATTAAATCGCTTCTGCGTGACTTTGTTGCGGATTACGTTTTATATTATGTTTCCTTTCCTGTAAGTATCAATTACCATTATTCAAACTTTATTTATTTATTACAGAACATAATTTACTACAATACAATACATTAAAAGGTAATGAATTTTAATGCAATAATAAATAATGTTTGCTCAAATTATGTTTAGACCAAGTAATATATGACGACCTCCGTGGCCGAGTGGTTTGTACGCCGCGCCGGGTTTCATGGTGTCGCCGACTCGAGAGGTCCCGGGTTCGAATCCCGGTGGGGGAAGATGTTTGTGTGATGAATACTCCACTCATGGATATTTAATATGTATTTCTATATAAATATACTTATCTCCGTACGGTATATATATTCTATCCGTTACACTAGTACCCCATAACACAAGCCTTCATTGTTACTTTGGGGCTAGACTAATTGGTGTCAGTATTGGAAATATTTATTTATATATCTGCAATATTCTTATACTTACAGGTGAAAACAGATTGGTCTTCTTCACTATATTCATATTATATTACGTACAAAATGAAAAGTATTTCTGTCTAATCTATTACACTTTAGGGCTTTTTACTACAACCGCTAAACTGATTTGTCCCTTGTTTTTACGTCGGTTTTTGTATACTTTTTGTCGAGCTAGTTGAAGAGTAGCCGGTACTTACGATTTTTTTTCTCCAATTAATCCTATTATTTATTATCTTCCTAAATAGCATTAATTTTTGAGTATTGTGGTATTAGCATATTAGCGTTATTATTTATTATTAGGTGTGTATTTGTATACTGAGGAGCTCGATAGCGCAAGCGGTTAGCGCGTTCGGCTGCGATCGTTGAAGTTAAGCAACTTTCGCAGTGGTCGGTCATTGGATGGGTTACCAAAAATCTTCTATCTCGAGTTTCTCCGTGCTTCGGAAGGCACGTTAAAATTTGTTGCCAATCTGCACTGGGCCCGCTTGGTGGGTCATGGCCCAATCTCCCTATTCGTTCCATAGGGAAGGCCTGTGCCCCAGCAGTGGGAACATTAATAGGCTGATGATGATGATGTATTTAGGTGTATAGATCTCCACAAGTGGGAGATAGGCAATAGGGTAGAAACACCATGCAAGCTTTTATTACTTGGTCGCATACTCCTAGCATCTGACCATCAGAAATATTCTTTTGCTAACACTAGTACCCACTATTCATCGCAAGTAGCTTCACTGATAGAAACGCCATCTTTATGAATAAAAGACAACTAAATCACGAAAAGCACATTTAAAGTTCCTCCAGGAGAATACTTGCTGGCTCTTTGTTTACGTAAATCACAGAAAGTTTAGAGTGCAGCGAATCGCACGGCATCAGGTGCGATACATTCACGCAAATATTTTATGAAAATACCAAGAATGTTATCATCGTAAGGATGTGCTCGATCAGGACAACGATAAAAAATAATAAAATTACAATATTTTATTTTATTCTTATCCCAATATAAAATAGCTAATCCTTTTGACTTATGGATCAGAACGCCAGTTAGACGAAAGGTTGTTCCGTTTTTAGGGTGCCGTACCTCGAAATGAAATAACGGAACCCTTATAGGATCACTTTGTTGTCCGTCCGTCTGTCCGTCCGTCTGTCCGTCCGTCTGTCAAGACTCTTTCTCTCAGCAACGCGTGGAGGTATCAAGTTAAAATTTATATCAAACACTCAGGTCTACTGTCCTTTGAAGCTGTGAAAAAAATAAACTTCTAAGCCAACGCAATCAAAAGATACAGCCGTTTATGCCGCAAATTTTCGAAACCCTATAAAACTCTTTTCGTTTGTTAAGTACTTGCAGTATTCTATGAACTTTCCAAACATGGGGGCGAAATTTATTCAAATCCAGAATTGATCACTGATATATATAATATACCTAGTCAGGTCATAAATTCTGTCACATGTTTAATATAAAATAATTGAAACAAGTTTATTCATTACGTAAACATGTATATACCAAAATGATCTTAACAAAACATAGATTCTTATGACAATAAAGTTTATTCAAAATGACCTCCGCGATTTTGAATCCAGGCCTTCAATCTGCGCGGCCAGTCGTCTATCTCAGCACGAACGAGGTCCATGTCAATATCGGCGGCTGCCTTAATCAAGCTGTCTTAGTGACTCCAAATTGGGATGAGGCTTTGAGCACGCCTTTTCCTCCAAGTGTTGCCATATCTTGTAATCTAACGGACTTATAATAGGCATTTGAAAAAACTATTGCTGTTCCGCATTGGCTAATACTGTGCGATAGGGACAAAATTAGTTAACGCTGAAAATTGCGTGTAAAAATTACAATATTCGAGGTCTTTGCTATCGACAATTTCCTCCTCGAAAATTAGATATGTATAATGTAAAATAAATTTTACACAAATAATAATAAGAAGTGATAGTAAGCCACTTTTTTTGCTTTTTCTGTAAATGCTTATTGAATCTTCACACTAGACGTCTTTAGCGGTGATAAAAATTTGTTTATTTTTGGTCATTTTTTCGAGGGCTTCCAGTTTCTTTGAAACCTTTCTTTCATATCTGTGTATAAAAATCAATTCCTTAGTGATAAAAATCAAGGAGGAATCAGCCGAGAACGTTTGCACGGAAAAAAAAACAAAAATAATTTATTCAGTCTAGGCTGCTACAAGCACTTGTGAAGGTCAAGAAGCTACGCCATCGGTTCGCAAATCTACTTCAGAGATACCTCTGAAGTCACCTTAATTTACAGCATTTATATACATATATACCTAGTCAGGTCATAAATTCTGTCACATGTTTAATATAAAAAGTGTATTCAAAATGACCTCCGTGATTTTGAATACAGCCCTTCAATCTGCGCGGCCAGTCGTCTATCGCAGCACGAACGAGGTCCATGTCAATATCGGCGGCTGCCTTAATCAAGGCTGTCTTAGTGACTCCAAATTGGGATGAGGCTTTGAGCACGCCTTTTCCTCCAAGTGTTGCCATATCTTGTAATCTAACGGACTTAAATCTGGACTGGAGGAGGGCCAGTCTTCGTGCCGGATGAAGTCGATTTCTCTCACATTTTCTCAGTCTTGTGTGCTCTTCGCTCTATGAGCTGGCGCCAAATCTTGTTGGAATACCCAGTGCCTGTTATTGAACATGGTATGAGAAACAGGTTCCACAAGGTTCGTCAGGACTGTATTTTGATACACAACTGCATTCGTTTTTACACCTTTCTCACAAAAATGTACCTCTGTTAAGCCCCAATAAGAAACTCCCAACCATACCATGAGCAAGGATTTAAAATGACCTCGTTGGACACGCGGAATACGGTTGCTCGCTTCTTCACTACTGTGTTCGTACACCTTATCATTTTGTTTGTTGTAGCTCTCTTCTACGGTAAATATTTTTTCATCTAAAAAAAGAATTTCCCGATATTTTTTTCGTACCGCTCCAACAAAGCGCGGCATCTCTTCAGTCTCAGGTACATTAGACGAGCATTCAAGCGATGTCCTGTTTTTCTTCGATATGCCCTAAGCCCTAAGTCTTCATTTAACACCCTTTACACCGTGGTTCTGCTTAACCCCATCTGAAGGGCCAACAGTTTCTGCTTTCGTTAGAGTCGGATTTCTTTGAATTCGCGCCTTCACAGCTTTTATCACTGCTGGAGTCCTAACAGACCGAGGGCGACCACTTCTTGACCTGTCATCTACACTAGAGTCTTCATCGTATCGTTTGATGGTACGATAAACGAATCTTTTGGTTATATTCAAAATTTTCAGTATGTCAAAAATTTTAATTGGCGCGTAACCGCAACGATGCAACG